AACAAATTCTGCTATGAAGCATTCAGGGATGAAGATGGAAAGGAGGTCTCCAAGATAAGCAGGCATCGGGCTAATTTCATAATGATGGATTGCATATACATACAGAATAATCTCTTCTAGAATTTCCGATAGGTAAGTTTTTGTTCTTTATGCATTGTATCACCTATCAAATTAAGTTCTAATTCATATTCAGCCTGTCTAATATGTATACATGTTCTTGCTGTCTTGCTCACATGCACACACACATACACACACACACAGACACATACACACCCCGTGTTCATATTTATTCTGTAGAAAAATTTTATGAGTCTGTTAATCTAGCTGAATGAGTAACATAAAGCAAAGTTGGTGACTAAAGAAAAAATGTGATCTGTACAACGTTAACCAAAGCAGAATTTTTGACAGGAGCTCTGAAGATATTTTAGGCTTAGAAAGAGGCAGTGTAGTACAGTGGAAAAAGCGCTATATAGGTTTCGGTCCTGGCCCTATAATTTGTAAACTGGCCCTTGGCAGGCCATTTCTCCTTTTACAAGTTTCAATTTTCTTGCTGGTAAAATTATAATACTTACTCAAAGAGACCCTTGAAAGTTAAATGACTAAATGTTTGTGAAAATAACTGGTCTGATACCCAGCACATAAGATCTGCTCAGTTCTCTAGATTTCAATCTGAATTGTGTTTTTAGTTTAAATTATTTTGTGAATAATTAATACTCTTTATTTCATTTTTTTTCTTGTTCAATTATAATGTGTCCCAAGGAATAAAGTTAAAATGCTTCCATGACAGGAGTGTGGAGACAGAGCGTTTTGTTTGATTTGGAATTTTAAAGCTCAATCAGGAATTAAGGTAAGTACAGAGACAGAGCTATTAAGGAAATTGAAAAGGAACAGACAGTCCTGGAATGTGGCAGCTCCTGTTTGATTTTTAAATGTAAGTTAAATATTAATTTTTCTAAAAAAACACTCTTCCTCCAGGAAGGCCTTTTTTTTTTTTTCCTCTTTCTCTCTCTCTCTCTCTTATTTTGACAGACTGTTGGTGGCTTGCCTTTTACACTAACTTATGTGGAGAAAAAAAAAGTCTTCAGATGATCCTATTTGTACAAGAAAAAGTCTTCAAAACAGCTTCCTTTTTGCCAGCATCAACAGCAGCTGAACAGGGTTGGGTTGTTGCATATTAAGAATTATTTCTTTCATTTCAAAGATGTTTGGGGGGCAAGCAAGAGTCCTGATTACACATGATCAAAATAAACTAATATTAGATTTGCTTATGGAAAGAGCCGATTAAGTCTACTGATGAAGACTGAGTACGCTTTTTATTGTTCCATAAGGATTTTACAGGAAGGAGAGAAGTTTGAAAAAAAACTTTGAAAAACTAAGCTGATTTGGGGAAAATAAGAAGCATTGACGATCTTTTGTTTTCTGAATTTCTTCCTGCTAGAGGTTCCCTAAAACAAGCAAGTATGATGATGCTCTTGATTTGTACACTGAAGTCTAAAGAAAATTGACATTTCTGTCAAGATTCCTTCCAAATATAATTTTTTAAAAAAAGGAAATGGTTGGATCCCTTTTAAAGTTTTTGGATGGATTCTCTTCTATTTTGGCTATTCTCTGAATTTGAAGAAATGAGGAACAATAGGGAAATTACAGGCTTCCAGTTCATACCTATCTTAGCAAAAATTTCAACATCTTATGTTTCGACGTCTCCCTTTCTCAAATCATTTCTCTTTCTTACGTTCATGTATATGTTTTCTTTCTCTTTAAAAAAAAATTAGCAAAATTACTATCATTCAGTGCTCCATGACATTCAGCATACATGTTTTATTTTTTAGTTTTTGCATACACAACACAGTTTGAGAACCATTGTTCATAGGAACTGTATTGAAGTGGTTCTCAAAGTACAATTCTCGGACCAAGACCCTCAGTATCACCGAGGAATTTATTAGAAATGCACATTTTGGAGCTCTAGCCCAGACTCAATAAAGCAGGAACTCTGAGATGGGACTCAATCATCTAAAAAATAGGCTCCATAAAGAAGCGCATTCTTGGCATTCCCAGCAAGGCGTTCAGGAGTGTGAGAGACCCGGGGAGGGCTGTCTTTCTCAATGCAGAGTTGATATCATTGGGCAGAGCTTGGAATCAAATTCTCATCACTGCATGACTCCTATCACCATATGGTCATTAACTTTTGTCCCTATCCAGCCTTAAAAGGCAGATCAGATTGTCCTTGGCAGAGAGATCTGAGTAATTGCACATCTCAGACTCATGAACCTTCCTTAGCACCTGGAGTCCTGACACGTACTTAGTCTCTGAGCTATAGCATTGACTCTAGACCTATGGTTCCTAATCTTGGCTTCCTATTAGAACTACTTAAAGAATTTTTAAAAATCTTAATGCTCAGGCCATACCCCAGGGCAATTAAATCAGAATCCCTCAGAGTCAGAGCCAGATAATAGTATTTTTGCCTTCTCTGGTGCTTCTTCTGATATTCATGCAAATTTGAGATGTCAATTGAACATTTTCCATAAAGTCAGGTAGGGTGTGTACAGAGGAAGATAATCTAGATAATCTAGTCAGGTAGGGTGTGTACAGAGGAAGATAATCTAGAAGATAATCTCAAAAGCACGTGGCCAGTTCTGGGATCAGCAGGGAGTTTGGTG